TATATATATATATAAATGAATGAATAAATAACTAAATAAACAAACAAACAAACATGTATACAGTATAATGCAATAATAACAGTAATGAAAACAATATTAATTAAATTAATACATAACCCCCGGAGTATTAAAAAAAATTGGTATCAAAATCAAAATATTATTTTAGATTTTTTGAAATAAGAATTTGGATTATTACATTTATGTGAAATTCAAAAAAAAAAAAAACATGCTCCCAAAAACTCATTATCTTGGACTATCCCAGTTTAAATGAAACACAAAATGTTGCTTTACACACGACTTGAGCAGGTCTGCTGTGACACTCACCCACAATATATGCAGTGCTGTCATAATGATCACAACAAAACAACCCCAAGCAAAACACAGATGTTCTGTTGCCGCCTCTATTAATAAAAGCACAAAAATCCCCTGAAGAAGCTGTTCTGAGAAACATCAGATCATCTTCTTCATATAAAATGTGCAACAGTTCATCAGCTGTGCTGCTGTGAGAGCAACAGACGCCGTATCTGAATCACAAGCTGACACTCAAAACCAAGTTCTCTGCATATGACAACATCATACATTGCTTTATGTTAAGCTGCAGGTCAAATCTGCCACACCAGTAGAGTTTAAGGGGTCAAATAAGGTCCAAACAGTATCTTGAAGAAACAACTATCACTTTCTATATGCTCAAAAGCTGCTGTTTGTCCAAGCAGGCAGTCCAAATGTTTTAAATGGATATAGTTCACCCAAAAATCATACACTCATTTTTAAGTGTCTGAGTTCCTTTCTTCTGTTCAACACTAAAGAAGATCTTTTGAAGAAAGCTGAAAACCTGTAACCATTGACTTAAATAATAAATGATCCTCTGTAGTGTTCATTGAGGTGAAGTTGGTTTTATATTCGCACATTCATTCATTTTCTGAACAGTGACACAGTCTTTATATTGTTTATTACACCGATTTTCAGCTTTCTTCGAAATATCTTCTTTAGTGTTGAACAGAAGAAAGAAATTCAACAATGTAAGGAGTAAGAAATAAAACAGCTCATGCTGCCACTGAGGTAAAGTTGGTTTTATTTTTGAACTTTCTCCTTAATTTAATTAATATAATTATAATATATTCTCCTGAATATAATTTCAGAAAAGTACTATTAGCAAATTTTGAATAGGTTAATTATATTAGCAGCCAATGACTATCAAAGTATGACACTGTTCACAGTCAACTAAATAGTGCTGATGTTTTTTTCAAGTCATATAATCTCAGACCAAAATATTCAAGGTATAACCATTGACCTCCATATAGGAAAAACAAATGAAGGACATAGCTACATGCTTTCAGCAAACTTTAAAATATCTTCTTTAGTGTGCATCGAGATAAATTTGGTTTTATATCCTTACATTAGTTTATTTTTGAATAATGACAACTTGTAACTCAGTCTATATATTGTTTATTACGCTACTTTGAATATTTCGGTCTGAAATCGCATGTAAACATGACTTGAAAACAACATCAGCACGATTTAATTGACTGTGAACAGTGTCATATATTGACAGTCATTGGCTGATAATGTTCAGAATTTGCTAATAATACTTTTCTGAAATTATATTAAGTAGAATATACTATATTTATATTAATTAAATTAAGGAGAAAGTCTAAAAATAAAACCAACTTTACCTCAATGGCAGCACGGGTTGTTTTAAACGGATAGATCACACTAAAATCCTTAAGGGGTTGAGTTTCTTTCTTCTGTTGAACACTAAAGAAAATATTTTGAAGAAAGCTGAAGAATATTGACTTCCATAGTAGGAAAAAAACAACAGAAGTCAATGGTTATATGTTTTCAGCAAACTTCAAATTACACTCTTGAGTGCCCATCAGAAGAAAGTCAATTGAGTCAACTTAATTGCATTTTCAGAAAAGTATTATTCGCATATTTTAAATAATTTTAGCAGCCAATGACTATCTACAACATTGTTCATAGTCAATTAAATAGTCACAAAGTCATGTTTACATGCGATTTCAGACCCAATATATAAAGTAGCGTGGTAAACAATATAGAGAGACCGTGTCACAAGTTGTCACTGAACGAATGTGTGGACATAAAACCAACTTTACCTCAAGAAAGTAGAGCATGATTTGGAACAAGTAAAAGCTGTGACAGAATATTAATTTTTTGTGTGTACTATCCCTTTAAGTGGTGTCCACACAGTCATGTGAAAGTTGTAAGCGTATACAAAGTCTTAATAACAGCGAAATGTGTCTTACCGGCTGTAAACAATCTCCCGAGGCAGCAGAGCGTCAGCACGGACACAACGCGCGCGCAGACCGCGGGAAGGAGCACACACATCGGGCTGTACCGGGTGGACATGGTGCCCGAGCGGAGATCCAGAAGGATGATCACCGCGGATCACGGCTGCACGACCATAATATAGAGCAAATCCGACACTTCCTGAAACCTGAGAGACTCTCAGAGCAGCAGCGTTCGGACGCGCGCGCCGCACATCAGCTCTCCAGGAGCGCACCACCGCGTGCACTCAAGCAGCCTCGTGCGCGCGTGTGTGTGCGCGCGAGAGAGTGAGAGAGAGCGCTGAGATTTTGACGTTTCAGATTTTTGATGAGTGCTGAAAAACACGATCTAACAAGTAAAGAACGAAACGATTTTGCGAATAATAGGTTTATTTGCATTTTATGTTTAAAACTGGTTCTTTAAAGCCCTCTACTCTCTCTGACTAATCACTATAGACCCGTGAATATTAATTAAAATAAAACTAAAATTAGAATCAGTATAGCTTTGAAAATCATTTAGTTCTAAGGATATCTATATACTTGTGTAATCCAAAACAGTGACAACATTTCGTTTAGAAGAAATAAAACTGATGTAAACATCCAAAGCTTGTAGTTCATCACATCTGCCTTAACGGATCAATGTTTTTTTGACGTCACCTCATACTAGTTTCTCAAATCGTGACCAATCATATGCTCACTAGTATCTGACATGCCCCGCCCCGTTTAAGACTTCTCCTTTGCTTTTAATTTGATGCACTTGAGCTCAATCACTCTCACTGCCAGATTGGTGATAAAATACACTATGGCTGTTTCTCAATTCCAAGAACGCAAAGAACTGACTTGCGTTCTTGTGGAGACTGGTCTTGCCAGGTGTCCTCAGAAGAACGAACTCAGGAGACCGCGAGGGCAGAGAACGAGTCCTTTGAGAAATGGGATGCTGCGTTCTTCCTGATGGTCACATGACCTTCACGCGTTTTAAATGGAAATTATTTAAACATTACAGCACTCATACAACGATTTATTGTTTAGCCCCCTCTTCAAAATATATACTTTGCATAAAAACATTATAAATATACTCTGCACAATATAAATAAAACACATTGTAATACGAAATTCAGCAAACAAACACCCTTAATGTGTTTATTCCTTTATTAAGATGTTCATGTTAATGTTTACTTTCACCGTTTCATTTAGGGAAAGTCCTGAGGTAAATAAGTGATATCTCTGAACTTTAATAATAAATCTAAATAAAATGCTGCGCTTCCCACCTCCAGTCGCAATGACTTCTGGGACTTCCAGAGCGAGGACGGTGCTCAAGTCTGCATCGGTGCGTCCTCAATATCAAGATCACATCCGGGAAGTTTCACGCGTCCTCTGTACTTGCGGTCTCGAGTATTGGAACTGAACTTAGGCTGCTGATGATGACGTTGCACGAGAACACGAGGACGCAAGACCGCTGAAGAACGCATATTGAGAAACAGCCACTAATTGACTGTTTTTAAGGAAGAGGAGCTATTTTATGCTCACCCTCTCTTCATTTTTTAAATTGAAATTATGAAGAGAAAATGCACATCTCAAAGCACTTCACGGGACCTAGGCTGTATGCCAGTCCAATTTTTTAAGCCCTCGGACGTACGTCATTGATTGCGTCACACAAGTGTCCACTGCTGGTGAACATCTGAATGCCCCAAACACTTGAGCACTTACACTTGTGACAACACTATCGTATTTCATTCTTGGACATATAGGTGCTAGAGTGACCATATGAAATCAATGGAGCTTTCCAAACGGGATACATTGAGTGAAAAAATCATGGCCGCCACCTTTATTTGTCAATCCAAACCGAAGTGATCAAAACTGCCCATTTCAAAAGGCCATTTGGAATGAAGAATTGTGAAAAATCCTACTGATGGAAACTATCGTTTGAGCAGGGAACCTGTATGCAGGGCCGGCCCTTCCATAGAGGCGACCTAGGCAGCCGCTTAAGGCGACAGAATAGAGAGGGCGGCGTCCCCGAAACTACCCTCACCACCCGCGCCCTCATCCGCGTCTAGGGTGGCAGAATAGAGAGAGCAGCGTCCCCGAAACTACCCTCGCCACCCGCGCCTCAGTTATATCCGCCTCTAGCGTGGCAGAATAGAGAGGGTGGCGTCCCCAAAACTACACTCGCCACCCGCGCCTCAGTTATATCCGCGTCTAGCGCAGCAGAATAGAGAGGGTGGCGTCCCCTAAAGTACCCTCGCCACGCGCGCCTCAGTTATAGCCGCGTCTAGGGCGGTTTCACTTTAGGTTTGAGGGCGGCGTGACCATCCTTTGCCTAGAGCGGCAGTTCAGCTTGCTCCGGCCCTGCCTGTATGGTGTCACATTCAGCGCTCAATTTATAAAAGTTCATACCTACATATACTCTAAGCCCTTCAGAGGGACCCTTCAAAGAGATTAGGGCATAGGGATGAGTCCTTCAGAATGGAATCCACCCCAACTCGCTCTCTTGGTCAAAATCTAGGGATCAAGGGTATGTCCATGTAAGCTACCTTCGTTCACTTGAAGGTGTGGAACACACTTTAAAACTGTGATGGGGATTCCCCGCAGGAAACAAGGGAAGGGATGTTTGTGAGTGTGTCTTTAAAAGTGGAGTCCCACAGGTTGTAGGGTGGCAGTAAATGTGCTTTAATACTCTTCCTACATCACAAATAAACAGTGCTAAAACATGTATTCATATAGACCTTTCCGTGGTGGTTCAGTGGTTAGCACTCTCGCCTCACAGCAAGAAGGTCACTGGTTCGAGTCCCGGCTGGGTCAGTTGACGTTTCTGTGTGTAGTCTGCATGTTCTCCCAGTGTTTGTGTGAGTTTCCTCTGGGTGCTCCGGTTTCCCCCACAATCCAAAGACATGTCTATAGGTGAACTGAAGAAACTTAATTGGCCATAGTGTGAGAATGTAAGAGTATATGGGTGTTTCCCATTGCTGAGTTGTGGCTGGAAGGGCATCCGCTGCGTAAAACATACAGTATGCTGGATAAGTTGGTGGTTCATTCCGCTGTGGCAACCCCTGATAAAAAAGGGACTAAGCTAAAGGAAAATCAAATGAAGTCAAATAGAGCTTTCCAACCATATATAGTTTGTCATGATTAGATTGGGATTTAATTGCAAAAAAAGGATCTAAACTTAATATATTTATAGATGTATTTAAACACGGTGGCGGGACGGTGACAGTAAAGGGACAGTTCGCCCAAAAATGAAATTTACTCACCATTTACTCACACTCAAGTTGTTTTAAACCTTTATGGCTTTCTATCTTCTGATGAACACTATTCATTCATTCATTTTCTTTTTGACTTAGTCCCTTTATTCATCAGGGGTCGCCACAGCAGAATAAACCACCAACTTATCCAGCATATGTTTTACACAGTGTTAGTTTATTCAGTTCATCTATATCGGGGAGAACATGCAAACTCCACACAGAAATGACCCAGCTGAGGCTCGAAGCAGTGACCTTCTTGCTGTGATGCGACAGCGCTACCCGCTAGTTAGTTGGTTTCAGTTTTGGTTGACGCTGAGATGAAACATGAGCGTTGCATATATGTGAGCGCACGGTAAGGTGTTGATCTATCGTGTGCTCGTGTCTTGCGTCTATTTGTGTTGTCCAAGCATGTGGCCATGTGTTTACATTGTGGCCGCGTGCTTCAGTCTTGTCCTGTTATTGTGATCGCGTGGTTAATGAGTTCTCTCATTGGCTACGTGTTCTAGTCTTGTTTTATGTAAGCACATGGCTTGTGTTGTCTCTGTGTCATGTGCTCTCCCGTCTATTGTCTAGTCCCGCCCACCTTATTAACCCATTATTAGTTAATTATGTTCATCTGTTTGTGTGTTAATTTACTACAGTTTATAATCCCCTCATGTCCGCTGTCCTGTGCCAATTCGTCTTTGTGTGTCACTGTATGTCATCGTTCATAGCCTTGTCTTGTTGCCTTGCTCCAGTCCTGATCCCTGCCCGCCTCTCCATCCTAGTTTGTTTTGATTGTTTATTTGTTTTATTAGTGTTTTCCCCCTCTGGGTTGTTTATTTTGCCTTTTATTTTATTTCATTATAAATAAATACTTAAAGAGCCCATATTATACATGAAATAGGGTCATATCCTGGTTGTAAGGGTCTCCAACAACAGTCTAATATGCATGCAAGGTCAAAAAACACTTTCATGGTCTTATAATCTGCATTTATTTTTACCTAATTATCCCAGCAACTCCCGTATGAATCGTCCAGTGATTCATTTGTTCCCAAACCCCTCCTTAGCGCGGAGCTAATCTGCGCTGATTGGACCGATGACAGTCTGTCGCGATTGGTCGACTGCCTTCAGTCAGAGAGGGAAATGGCCAATAGCTAATCAGCAATTTAAAAAGTAATCACAGTTCATACACGCTCGATAGTATAGACGTGGATTTTAGCTGCCACACTATGGCGAGTGGATAGTGCCACGAATAACCGAACGAAGGAGACAGTCGTGTACTCGCCATACCACACACACACAAAAACACACACACACCTCCGGATGACAACGCTCCCGCTTCCGCCCGCACCCGCCAGGTTTTAGCCTGAGAACCCGCTCCGTTTTCTGCCCGCCGCGCCCGTTCCCGCTAGAGCGGAGAACACAACCAAAAATCACCCAGTATACAGTCCAGACAGCCAAGATGTCTGTATAAACACACACACACAGCACAAAGCACACAAAGCTCGTTCGTTCGTTCGCTCTCTCTCTCTCTCGCTCTCTCTCATACGTGCGCGTGCGCACTAACACACACACAAGCACCACGCAGACTCTCTCTTTCTAATTCGCATAGCAATATCCGTGATATTGCTAGACAGCCCGCTCCCGTCCCAAATTAAACCCGTTACCGACCGCTCCCGCGATTTATTCGGAAATTTATTCCCGCGGCTGTCCCCGCGCCAGATTTCTGCGGCGCGGGAATAAATTTCCGAATAAATCGCGGGAGCAGAACTCTAGCACGGAGCTCCATAAACAAACAGCACGCGTCGCGTTTTTAACGTGACTTTGCACGCGATAAGATAATATATCCAGTTAACCTGATACAGTACTCGCGGTTACAAGTAACAAATCACAACTAAATACATTTGCAAGCTAGAGTAAACGAGGCAACAACTTTAACCGCACGTACTTACACTTGAGAAATGGAAGAAACCCATCCTGACGTCCATCAGTTACTCTTTACTGATCCTTCCTTTAACAAACTCAGATGAAGTATTCTTTGTAGCATGTAGCTTCCAGAAGTTTCCAACTGCT